GTGTGTGTGTGTGTGTGTGTGTGTGTGTGTGTGTGTGTGTGTGTGAGTGTGTTTGGCACACCTGCTGCTGTCTCATTGCAAGCAAGCAAAAGCTCGTTAGTGCCTCGCTTCGCCAAGGGGCGTGCACAGCATTTGTTGCACACAGACGTACTCACACATATGTGCATAGCTTGTGGCTACCACACACATGAGAGAGAGAGAGAGGGATAGAAGATACTTCAGCATCAGCTTGGCTTAACTTTACTTTTGTGTGCAACTGCTGTGCGCTTTTTTGCAACCCTTCACTGGACGCCGAGTGGAAATTTAGTTTGAGTACGTGGCAATCCCATCATCATGATGATGATGATGGTGGTAGTGGTGGTGGTGGAGGTGGTGTTGGTGGCGGTTCCATTTTGCTACCTGAGTGATTTTCTAAGGCCAGCTACAGCAACAGAGCGACAGGCGGGCGCATATTCAAATAGATGCACGTCCAGCCAACAGCCAGGCAGCCAAGCAGCCAATTAGTCAACAGGCAACTGGCAACTGCCAGCAGCTTCCTGGTGCCCCTTCTGGCCAGCTTGTGCTGACGCCTTGTTTCTTTCTGACTGTAAGGCCTACACTGGCCCACTCTGGCCCACTCACCATTCTCGACTGCCCTTGCCCATCTACTTACTGCCTATTCGTTAGCTTCTATTTAACATGCAGTTAACGTTTGTTATCGCCAGCAGCCACAGCTCAGCCAGCCAGATGACATGAACATGTTCTCAACAACAAAAACAGCACCTTCTCCCCTGAAGGAAATGGAGCACGGCTCAAAGGAGGCACTGCGTTCCAATACCCTTTGCCAAAAGTAAGTGGGTTATATGCATTATACTTTTTTCTAGAATTACCATTTAGGAAACACCTTATGTATTATAATTCCGCTTACAAATATTTTTTTTTATTCAAACTTATGAGCTTTCATATTCATTCACGAGCTGAAAGAACTCTAAGTGCTATACCCAAAGCAACTCACCTGTATCAAATCGCAGGAAACATTATGTATTCAAAAATTTTGAGGTTAAAGCTCTTAGGCCACTCCAGACTGCTTCCTGATGCAGTTGTTTTTGGAGAGTATTATGCAACATAGCGATCCAATATAATAATTGTATTATCATATCAATTACTTTTCTAAATATGTTTTCTTTAAACAGCTCATTACAATGCTCAAAAGATAACTATAAAATATTTAAAAGAAATTTGAATTTAATAAATACATTTGAAAACAAAAAGTATAATTTCTCAATTAGTATTTTAAAGTTTTACCTGATCAACCAACATTGTATTGTATTTGAAAACGCAATAACCTTAAACTTCTTCATAAGAAACAGAAACTTGCCAACATCATGTTAGATATATTATATTTTATTATGTACATATATTATCATATATGTATGCATTCATATTATATCATTTCCCCTTTATACACAGTTTATTGCTTTCAATATACTGGTGAGTGGGAATTTCCGGTTTTTTTGTCCATCCGTTTATACGCTTATCTGTCCGTGTGAGCTTAAAGTATTTCGAAAATTTATAATCCCCGACAGCGATAATCTATTAAATTGCCAATAATGATATATGCAAATATGGCAATACGGGATAAAACTGTTGAGCACAGCTGCGCAGACTTCTCTTGAGATTGATAGCAAGCGAGAAAAATTATATATTGGTCATATGAGATTGGTTCCATTTATATATTATATAGTTTTGTATACTTAGTGCTACGTACCAGCGGCATCTGCCTCTAGGCCTATGTCTTGCCTTTGGCTCTGATTGGGCAAATTGCATTTACATTAAAAGCCTGGAACTTGAACGAGAATTTTAATTAAAATGCCAGCAACTAGCGCACAATATGCGATGTTTGCCAAAGCAGCAGCATTTGGCGGCACCTCAACTGTGTCTGACATAAAAATATTCATCATAAGTAGCAGCCAGCCACCAGCAACAGCAGGAGCAGCAGCAGCAGGAGCATTAGCAGGAGGAGCAGCACTAACAACAGCCGCCAGCTGCTCACTGAGTCGCTGTCGAAGCTGGCAGCGACGCGGGCAGCAATTGTGCCATTTCAATCGACATCTGTTACTGATTTCAAAGAAACTTTTGTTGACAACACAAACAAATGCCAAACACAGCAGCAACTGAGTTCGAGCGAGAGAGCGATAGCATAAGCGAAAGGGAGAGGCAGTGTGTTGTCGCCTGGGGCCAATGGGACTAGGTACAAACGTTTGACGCTTGCCTGCGCACGACTCCAGCAGCAACGCCAACTCCGTGTCGCACGTGTCCCGTGCCCCTAGCCCCCTTTACGACCCACCACGACCCACAAAAGTGCCGCACAGCTGACGGTAACGTTATCAGCCAGCAAGTGGCTTGGTCTCGCTCTCTGTCTCTCTCTCTCCCTCTCTCTTTCTCTCTCTCTCTCTCTCTGCCTTTATCCGGCTCTCCATTGTGTATGTGCTTGTCTGTTTTTGTTTTTGCCGGCAAGAAACAAAGTTGACTGAGGTTGCCTGCATATGAAGGCTGTGCAGCAGCAGCAGCAGCAGTGAATAACATGTGCGTGAACGTATGGCTGAGTGTATGCGTGAGAGAATGTGTGTGTTTTTGGCGGTGGCATTGTCGATAATAACGATTTGACTGGGCGCAAGGAGGCGGGGCGGACGCGAGGCTCATATGTGGACGCAATTCCTGTTGCCGTTCCCGTTCCCGTTCTTGTTGCCCTTGCCCAGCTTTTGTGCACGTAACATGTGTCAATTACAGGCACACATGCATACACACTCACGCACACATAACCAAAGTAACTGTTCACTCATACAAAGACTTTTCTCGCTCACCGTCTATAACTCAAAAAGCTGCCAAAAAGTGTGCGCGCATTTTTTATACACGCCGCCTGAAAGTACGCACATATATTTTATCCCTGAACCCATAGAAAATGGGAAATTAGGATATAATGCTTTTGTAAAAAGGTATTTAACGGGCAGAAGCAATCATCGCAGACCCCATAAAGTATCAGGGTGACGGTCTGAGTCGATATAGCCCGTCTGTCCGTCCGTTGATTACGTCGATCTCAGAAGTTATAACACCTAAAAAGCTCGTGATGCTATACACGGGTTCGATAACACACGATATCTTTTTTATCTAAAATAATCGATAAATTGACTTTATTCATTCAACCCAATTTGAATAGCATTAAACCTGGAGACCTTAGATTCAGAATATATATATTTAATACAAAGATTTTGTAATTTATAGGTTTTGCCCCAAATTCGTAAAGAACGTATTTCAAGTACTAGAGACTTGTGCTTTGGAATATATACACTTTTAAACATTACGATTACGTTCTGAAAGATGGGTGGAAAATTATTTATCTACGCCTACTAGGACGTGGCAAATCGGACCTGAAGATATATTGTGATTTTAAAAATTCTGCTATATAATAGGCACTATTGAAGCTAGAGCTTCAAATTTGGATAGTTAAGTTACCAGTAAGCTCCTTTAACGATTCCCTAAATAATATTGTTAGGCCTCTTTAGGGGCGTGTCATATTGAAAAACACCCTGTAATTTTCAAATTTTTTTTGAGTAAGAATTCAAATTTTGAATTTAGGTTACCGTTAGCTTGTTCTATGAGTTGACCAAAAATGACGTGTCTAAGCCTAGTAGGGTCGTGGCAAATCAAGAAAAAGTGAACTTTCTACAGTATAAGAGCTAAACTTAGCTACTAAATTGCTTGTGAGGTGTGGATGAGTATTCTGCAGTTAGTAACGCCCGACTGCAAACGTTCTTACTTCTTTTTATATGTTTGCCTGCCGACTTCTAACAGCTACGCCCCGACGACGCGTCGCGACGCTGAGCGCGCCGCGGCA